CTGCCAGATCTTTCTGTCAACCACGACCAAACCCCTGCTCAACACCGTTAATCATCAGCTCATTTCTCTCATTGTGCAGTGATTCTTCCACACGTTGCAAGCGCGTCCTACAGCACCCGTAACGCCATGTCTGCCCTGGCAGCAAACAACCTCCTCCTTGGCCTGAGGGGCCAACCTATGATCAAAGAGCTCCAGCTATGAGAACACACTGGCTTCAGAGGACCTTGGTTTTGGAGAACTACAGGAAATATAGCAATGTTGCATTAAAGCATTTCCAGTTTTAAACTCAGATTTGTAGATTTGTGCAATAGGTTTGTATTTAAGGCATTCTAGTACAAAACATTTACGTTTTACAAAAAAATAAAGCAAACACAGCTCCCTTAAGTTGGCTTCTTTATCTTAACAGCTCTGCTTAGAATTTTATATGCACATAGTATGGATTATCTTTACAAAAAAAAAAAATACAGATCCTATATAGGTGGCTCAAAGTTGGGATCCACTAAGGGTCATCAATCAGTAAATGCATGGGATCCAGTAATAGAAGTTATAAGCTTTTAAAGATTTAGTGTAATTTATTTCTTTAATGAAACAATAATTTGTTCCAATAAATGTTATCCATTATGAGAGCTTCCCTTTAAGAACTGTAAAAATACACAAGTTTCCCTCAGTCTTGTGAAGAGCAAAAAAACATTTGCATTTGTGTTAAATGCTCCACAGCATAGATCTTATTTAGTACCTGGATCCCTTTGAAAATAAAATGTTAAAACATTAATGCAAATTTATCTTTCAGAATTTAAATAAATCTAAACAATCACTATAATGTGACAAATACTGAAGTTGTGATTTGATAAAGGAAAAATGTTTCAACACCAATAAAGGAAAAAAGTTATGTATGATTTAGATATTCTTAGTTTTTTATTAGAAAAAAAAAATCTTACCAGATTCAGATTTTCAAGGCTTGGGCTGTTGAAATAAATGTCACTCAAAAATCTGCTTAATAGAGTTCCAATGGTTTATTTAGTCTGTACAACAGGTCAACATAATTTACAACAAAGAGACAATGATTTTTCTGTTTAATGGTAACAGTATCTTTGAGTAAAATAAAAATACTTTACTTCTAACCAAACCCAACCAAACTCAGCTTTTAAAGCCATTGATTGTAAGGCAGTGACTTAAGTCTCATTTAGAAATCTGTGATATTTATCCAGGGGGAAGTAGAGTAAGTGCTTTCATTACAAATACTATAAACCAATATTTATTTTATTTCTTTATTGTGAAAGAAAGGATCAATAGGACTCCAAACAGGTGGAATCTCCCAACAACACGACCTACATCATACATTTCACCATAACTGGCCATTTTGAACTCAAACACAAGAGCAACACAGTTACCACTGGATTATAAGTCAGGAACATCAAATCTGAAAGCATAATCTTTATTCATTATTAACAAGGCTTTTTCTTCTGCACCAAGGTGTCAATGTCTCATAAAAAAGTCTTAATGTACAGGCTGACAGTGTAATGACTTTACTATAAGGTGCCAACTTGTTTGAAATGTCACAATACATACAGTGATTAAGAATATGAGACACTAAAACAGATCTATTCAATAAACAGTCTAGTCCAAAGAAGTTGATCTTATTTACAGCTAACAGAGTGACCCAAAGGGAGTCAAATCTACCGTATACCAATCTTTGACACAGATGATGATCTCCTCAGCAAGGGGTTTCTTTTTTAAGTTAACTGAAATGTTGCCAGAAATTGGCAAGTGTTTGAAAGTTTAGCGAGCTGGATGTAGAGGTATTCAAAAAAAATACATATAAGAAAGAAAAAAATCCAACTAGATTTCTTTTAATTATTATTATTTTTTTTCTGTGAGTGCTGGCAAAATGTAAATTAAACCTTAGAGTATTAGTGAACAACCTGCATGACAGTAGACATGGACCTGTTATGGAGGTTTACTGGGGTTTCCAAAACTTTTCTTCTATCGTATTGATTCACTGTTCAAGTCTAAGAGAGAGCGCTTGAATGAGTAGAGTTATCTGTGGCTACTGATGCTGAGCACTGCTGGTCAGCTGGATCATGATATTAGTTATACATATATTAGCATTCCAGAAAAAACAAAAAAACAATGTATAGCTATTCCTAAAAATTATTTTCTTGTTTGTCTGGTGCGAATTTTTGGAAGTAAAACTGTGATTTGTGCTACTTTGGTTTTTAAGATAGAATCGTTTTTGATTTCAGCAGAAGTTAGTGTTGATTTTTTTAGTTAGTCAAATGACTGCATAAATGAATTGTAATGCTGACATTGAATATAACAATGGGCATGTTTACCTTATTTGTTGGCTGGAATGATTGTTTCACAATATTCAGTATCTTATCAGCTTCCTGGATTCTTTAATTTGGATCTGCCGTAACCCCTGGCAACCCCATGTCATTTCATGTCAATTTCTCACTGTCAGCACTTTACAATAAAAGCACAGGTGAAACTTAATATTACAGAATGCTGCTAAATGGTTCTCTATGCACTACTTTTGAATCTGCTCACGGAGACTATAAATATTTAGAAAGCCCCCAGAATCGCTGAAAAAGTAGATAACTTTCGCTCAGCAGAGCTGCATCTGGAGGACGTCGGAATCTGCGGTGCTTTTATTGTAGATCTACCTGAGCAGAAAGCACCAATACTGGGTGGTGGGCAATGACAGACTGGATGTAAGGGAGGATGATTAACAGACTTACTTGAACTAAAATAACTTATTTTTTTAAAGCCACCTAAAAACCTCTTCAGAGCTTTCCTTACTTTATTTCATCCGTTATCAACATTATTTCCTCTTTTTTTCCATTTTAACTGGAAAAAAAGCTTTGTCTCGCACTCATTTAATCTACGTCACAACCACAACAGCTCTGATTGTTTGCTCCGACGAGAGTTCAGATTTCTCATCTTCAGCGATTATTGCGCGGCTCTCTCCAGGTGGTGCTGCGGTTTGTTTATAACTCCGTTTAAACTGATTAGCATGAGGTTAGAGTGGAGCAAGAACGCCCTCATTGCATGGGATTCACCGCTGGCTGCTTCCCAACTTGGTTTACATAGGTATAGTATGTAAATCCATTGCCGTCGCCGTGGACACTGCATTCGGTCTGAATGCACAGCAAGTGCTTCTGAATACAAAGCAATCAGAGAAAAATAAATAAGTTGAAAACATCAACTTCTAGTACAGTAATAAACAGAAAATGTGAAATTTAACAGGATTTTTACCAGATCTGAGGTTGAAAAACAGACCAGCAATGTGAGGAATTTTCTTCTATTTTTTTACCATATCGTTTAAAAAACGCAGTAAACTCCATTCAAACAACAGAAACACAGCATATCCCTAACCAGGAGGAACCCGTTTTTGTCATACTGCGGAGATGTTTGTTGTTTTGGGTCAGAGCTGAACTTTTATACATTTGAAGTCTTAACTGCAAATATAAATAACTGCTGACACTAAGAGGATTTATTTACAGGGTGGTTTCTGGTAAAACATGGTACTGAAATGGCACTAATGTTTAGGATTTTAGATTTATTTTAGCTGTCTTGCCTCAGCGTCCCTTGATTTTGGGTAGAGAGAAGAATGAAAAATCCTTACCTTCTCAGTTTTATGAGTGAACCTCAAAAAAGCACTAATATCACTTGTCGAGGACGACAATGAAAACACACAATCCTCTTTCTTTCAATAAACTTTCAACAAGTGAATTTATCAGCAACATATTTTCTTCCTTCAGGTTCACAAATATTTAGCTTAACAATGAGCACCATATAACCTCCAGATTCTAATGCTTTCAAAATATTAAAACTCTCGTTCATTATCTCCTTAAAGATCCCAGTATTTGAACTTCCATGTCTTTTATTGGGATTTTTTGTCACAGATCAACACAAAGTATTGCGTAACTTTGTAGAAAAAGAAAAATAGAGCATGGTTTTTCGACATCTTTTCACACAAAGTGTGATTTATATTTGGTACCCTTTACTTTGATGTGCTTGAAAAACCGGGAATGCAACCTGTTTATCTCCAGGATGAGTCCACCTGCATATCATTTAATGTGGGTATAAATCCAGCTGCCTTCTGAAGGCTGCAGTGGCTTGTTGGAGAACAAGCAGACAGGGAGTTTAAAAAAGTTCCAAAAACAATAACTAAGCTTTGGACCTGGAGAATAGCACTATTCAATCCGTCCTCTAAAAAAAATAAAATGTTAACGGCACAGATGGAAACATACTTTTCTAGAGAATAAAAGGTAACGCAAGCATTAGCCAAAGACGCAGCTAGCGGCGTACAGTTCATGTGGGACAATCTGATAAAAACGCATCAATTCGTATGCAAGAGTGATGCAAGAGTGGAGAAAAGAAAACAAAAAGTTTAGTATATTAAGCTGTATTAAACTTTAGGGGACCATAAAACAAGGTCTGGTGGGAAACCTGCAAGACACCAGTATAACTCCAAAAATAATGGTGGTTCTAGAAATCATTGTGGTGGAATATTAATACACACTACAAAAAAATAGCAAGTAAAGATTGTTAAAAACCAATAAATTCCTTCATAAATATGCTCTTCTTTGTCTTTGGTATAAAATCCCAATAAAGTGAATAAACTGAGAGAAGGTTCAGGAGGTATTTTCCTCTTCCATGCCTCTGTGCAGAGGAGGCCTGCAGACGGCTGTGCACGCAAGCCTCCGTCAGTTCTTACAGAGTGGGTCTGACCACAATTAGAGGCTGCAGCAGATTCTTCGTACGATTAAAATGTTAGAACATCTGCACCGGTCACATCGGAGCAGATCCAACTTTTGGTTTTGTGATTCAAAACCAAATAACTCTGAAGAAGCTTTTTTTCCTAATTAAGACATTTAAAACTAAGAGAAAATAAATCTTGGTCATACTCATGACATTAATGCAGGAGATTATTCATAATTCAGTCCAAGGGATCAAAGCTACATGTGTCCTTTTAAAAGAATATAGGTGTTTTATCCTTACAGAACAGGCTGATAGTGTGGATGAGAAAAATATAATCCTCATCTTTGGTTTGTGATCAGGACTGATTTATCTAGGGGAAGAAAAGAGATGAAGATGATGGGATCCAACCATTCTGAAGAGAAAAAAAAATGGGAGAATTTCATGTTGAGTGAATCGTTAAAAGCCTAGCTTTCTTTCCGCCCTCTACAGCAGAGTGTTGGACATGTTACTGTTCTGCCAGCGCAGACACGTGGTCTTGGAATGCTTGTAAAGGTGCGACGATTGGCTGAAACGTTTGCCGCACTTGAGACAGGCGTAGGGTTTTTCTCCGGTATGGACTCGGATGTGTTTCTTGCAGTCGGTCAGGGTGAGGAAGGTTTTGCAGCAGATCTTGCAGGCATACTTCCGCGCCCCTTCCACCACCAGGACATTGTGCTCCGAAAGCGCCTTCTTGCACTTGGACAGGACGTCAGCCGACGCCCGCGTGAGTTGGGGTGGGAGGGAGGTGGGCCTGCTGCTGTTCATCTCGTACCCTCCGCTTTCATTAAGGAGCAGAGGACTGGATAGACTGGATGAAGAAGATGCAGCATTACGAATAATCCCACCTACGGGTTCTTCTCCTCCCATTCCAGAGTTCATTTTTGGAGCGATACGCCTGAAGCTTTGATAACCCAGAGCGTTCGCACTAGTTCCTCCTGCTGGCCTCGAGGGGCGGCCCAGCGAGTGGAGGCCCAGACTGGATCTCTGGAAGTCCAAGCTGAAGGGATCCATGCCTCCACGTCCTCCACTAGCACCCCCTCCCCCGTTTCTTGGGTTTCCTAACCCATCATGCAGCGGGCGGAGGAACAAAGAGTCCGGCTGCAGGTTATCTCCAAAGCTGTTTCTGCTCTCGGTGTTTAGCATTCCAGGCTGCAGAACCGACGATGAGGCAGACCCGGATGGTGCAGCTGTGTCTTGTCTCAGCATAAAATTATGTGAAACAGCATCTCCCGTGGTCGTGTTAGGAAGGGCATCCTCTGCAGCAACCAACCCGGACCTGCCGCTGCTGAAATCCTTGGCTCCGAGGAAGCTGGGAATATTAAAAGCAGGTTTGTTGTTCAGAACGTTGCTGCAGCTGAAACCTGCTGTAACTCCTGCACCTCCTGCCATGCTGCTCTTGAGGAGAGACTCAGAGCTGGGCTGGGGTTCAGAGGTGAAGCTGCGGTCGCTGCTCTCTGGGCTCAGCTCCACCTTCTCCTCTTCCTCCTGGCACCCGGGCTCCGTCGGGTCGCTACCTTCGGCCTGGGATGTGACGTCACTGTTTTCGTCCACAGGTTCTGGCGAACTGAGAGGCTCCTGTTTGACCACCACCTGAGTGAAGAAACAAAACGTTTGTTTCTAGAAAGTTAATGGTAATCTGATTTATCCGCCATGAAACATTCATCCAGCTGTTGTTTTTGAACAAAGCTACCGCTGCTCAAGCTTAGGTCATGATGATTCCCAAACTTCAGGACTGTTTTAAATGTTAAAAATAAAAAAAGAGAGAAAAACGATCCCAAACAAACAGTAAAACTGGTTTTTGAATGTACAGAGCAGTCAAATCATTTCTGAAACATGCTAGGAAGCTGGTTCAGTGGCAGGAAACCAACAAAACGAACTGAGCTTTTCCATTTACGATGACATAAGGTTCTAAATATCAACCAGATTTATGCCAGAAATTTGTTGGATTCTGCAAAAGTCGTGTATATTTTATTTCTGTGGCTCCTTAAGAGACGTTTATTCCAATACTTTTGAGGATTTGTTGATATGTCAAAGCCTGTGTGTCCAATTGTGTGTTATTTAGCAGGCCTTCACCATTATTTAAAATTGTTTTATTTCTGTTATCCTACAGAAAAACTGGTTGTTTTCAAAAAGTCTAATTAAAGGACATTTATAATGACTAATATCTAAAAACAGATAATTACATAGCAAACTCCATGAGCTTCCTGTTTCTTGCTTTTGTTTCGTTACCTTCTGCTCCTCTTCCTCAGCCTCCTCCTCTGTTCCAGATTTCATCTTCACTCCCACTCGTTCATCCCGCTGGTCATGATCACTGATGTCCTCCTCCTTCCCCACCCCTCCCTGCATTCTTCCTAAGCTTTCCTCCTCACAGTGTCCGCTGTCCGACTGACTCGGCATCTGGGGGTCGTCCTGAGGCCCGCCGACCGCTCCATCCGACTTGGATTCGTCGCCCATCTTGTGGGAGTCTGGTGAAAGAAGTGCTCCATCCTCTCTCTCTGCGTTCACCCCACTCTCTCCCAACAGTCCGCGGCTGGGGGCAGAGGGCCGCTGCCTCTGTCTGGGTCGTTCCTCTTGAAGCCCAATCCCTAGGGGAGGCTTACGCTTGTGAAAGCGCCTGACTGGGAAGGAGGCTCTCTGTTCCACCACTCTGTTGCCTGCCACTTCTTCCTCCATTCCTCCTAAGGCAGAACTCACCAGACTGAGGCCCAGCTGCTGCAGCAGGAAGGAGCGCTGCAGCTTAGACGTAGCAGCAGAAGCTGGGACATTAGCTCCTAAATCTCCAACCTGCTGCTGCCTGTGCCTCTGCTGTTGCTCCTGCTGCGGGTGGTGATGGGAGGGCCTGTCTGCAGAAGGGGACAAGGGCAGTGTTCGCGTGGTCAGGTAGTGTTTGCAGGCCTTCACAACGTTGTTCAGGTGCAGATGTGAAGCAGCAAGAAGGATGTCCATGACGTTGCTCTCCCCCAGCATCAGCGTTGATGTGTACATCATGTCCACCAGAGCAGCGAAAGCTTCTGCCGTCACCACCTGCAAACAATCTTATCATTAGGCAACTTTTTAGAAACGAGCGGTGGCGCCTTGTGGGTTTTATTCCGAACCTCGCTATCCAGCTGGATCATGTTCATGCTGGCGTCCCCTTCTGCGACTGTAAACAGGGCTCTGAAGTGGGTGCTGCAGGCTGCGAGCACTGAGCGGTGGGCTTTAAAGTGTCGGCTGCCCACTACGATGACACAGTCACACAGCTGCCCGTGGATGCGCTGATAGTTGAGCTGCTGGAAGATCTGCTCAAAGTGGCCCGGAAAATCCATGGCCCTGCAGGGAGGACAGAGAGAGCAGAAAACCGGATCAGATTAAACAGATTGGGGCGCAGATCTGCAGTCAGATCCACATTTAACAGTTGTACCATTCCTGACACAAAACTCAGCACATTTCTAAAGATGTTAAGGGGAAAGTGAAATGAAACATGTATAATGAAATATGAATTTCATAACTTGGCAAACATAATCTCGTATACTCTAATACTCCAAAGGAATTTCCAGTTCAACCTATTGCAATGGGGAGCCGACTGATCAGAAAATAGTTTACTTCTATGCACGCTTTAAGAACAACTTTTTGTCAAGTCCTGGAGAGTGACAAGAACACTACAAAAAACTGAAATCTAATTAGGGCAAAATTTCTTAAAACCATTGGATTTTGTCTTGAATTGATCAGGTGAGACGCTTTGCCAATACAATAATAAAATTTGACATTTGAAATAGGATACGAAACAACTGCAGACTCTTATTTCAAGTGATAAATATCTAATTATAGTATTTCAAGGTTAAAAATACTCATTCCATTGGCAGATCATCTTATTTACATATTCAGATTAATGGTAAATACACTTATCTTAAGAATTTTTTTTACAAATTTTTTATCTGTTTTTGCAATGTATGCAATTGTTAAGACACATAAAATATCCAGCTTGTTATTTACATACAGCTGATACCAAAAACATGTGGAAGAAGGTCCATTCCTAAAGAGTCATAAATCAACCATATAGACATAAATGCAAAACTAATAATTCAATGGCTGCCTCATGTTTCATGTTTTGAAGACACTAAACAGCAGATCCTTCCTTCCCTGCAATAATACTTTAAAAGAAACTTAAAAAGGTCACAATAATGTTCAATTTCTCATTGGATCTGGAAACTTTTTTTTTCTTTTTCAAATGCAACTGAAGTCATTGGTGAGAATTTGGTCCAAGTTGGAAGGAGTGAGCTAAACACAATGCACACTTGGAGAAATCAACTCAAGAGAAATCAAAAATGTCTGCTTAGAGATGCTCTTATAGTTTGTAGATGCATAAAAATACAAGAGAAAAACAAACATGCAGATTTGATTGCACTATAAATGAGTTCTACAAAACATAGAGCCAGCTTAGCTCGACACAATTACAAAGCACAGTTTACAGGTTTAAAAATAAATCAAAATAACAAATAAACAATTCTATGGATTTTTTTTTCAATCTGCTTTTTGTACAGCTACAGTTATAACAGATAATAACCAGAAAAATGTCTTGTTTTAATAAAAAAAAACCATAATCCCGCGTTTCTTCAAAATCGACAGTAAAATTTAAACCATGTCATTTATCAATGTATATTGAAATATGAAATCTAATACCCAGTCGTTAATAGTGTAGATCTACTGATAATAGATGAGCTACACAGCAGCTAGCAAGTGTATTACGATTAGACTACTTGACTTAAACAGATGTAATCGAGTATTCTTGAAGGAAGACAAATTGGGAAACACAAGGACATACATTACCTGAATTTGGCTTTGAAATGCAGCTTTAAAGGAGATAATAAAGTCCGGAGCGGGAGCTGGAGAAGCTAAATGTAGCTAACAGCAGTGCCAGCTAGCATGAGAAGCATACTGCTCTCTAGGAAGACCCGCTACTTTGTGTGAAGACCTTACCCTGCCAAAATCAACCCTTAAATATGCCTTCCGCCCGCTAACATTTTCACTGCTGCGTCCAAGTACACGTTTCCCTCTCCTGCGGTGGTCTTCTTCTTCTTCTTATGGGATTTTATGGCGGTTGGCAGACTTGTGAATTGTGCATTACCGCCACCAACTGATATGGAGTAAAGCAAGAAAACAGGAAACGATTCACCCCCCCAAAAAAAAAAAAAAAAAAAAAAAAAAAAAAAAAAAAAAAAAAAAAAAAAACCTGTGTAACTTAAACCAACATAATACTAAATCACATTTGCCCATATAATTTTAATTTACTCTAGGTCATCTTAACTCTGCCAGTTTCTGATGGTCCCATCGGTCCTCCCATCATACTTCCAACCATCTCCCAGTTCAAATCTTTAATGTCCAGATATTTTTCTGCAGCCTTCACTATTATTTTGATTTTTTCCGTTTTTTTTGTTGTCTGTGCAGTACAATTAATAACTTCTACCATGAAAAGAACAAAATTTGTCTTTTTAACAATAAGTGAGTCTTCATCAATTTTTAGAGATTTCTCTAGAGGTTTGGAATTTGCTGTGTGTTGAACTGTAGGTTTGGGTTTTTCTGACTGAGATGGGATCCTTTTTGCAGCTTCAGCGTAGGTTATTCCGAGCTCAAATTTCATTTTTTTAATTTCCTCAGACCTTTTGCTTGCTTCACAGCCGCGATAGGCAGCAGTATGTTCTCCACCACAATTACAGCATTTTATTTTAGCTTCTTTTCCACATTTTCCGTACTCATGTTCTCCTGCACACCTTCCACACCTCTGTTTCCCTTTACAAACTGCTGCAATGTGACCGAATTTTTGGCATTTGAAACATCTCAATGGTGGAGGATTGTAGATTTTGACATTATAGCTTATGTAACCGATGAATACTTTGCTTGGTAATTGCTCTTCTTCGAATTTAATTAGCACAGATAAACTGTCAGATCTTTCTCCGTTTCTTGTTGTTTTTAACCGTTTTACTTCTTTTACTTTTGCACCTCTTATGTTTTCCAGAATCTCTTTTTCAGAAATTTTTAGAGGAACTCCTCCAATGACTCCCCTGCTGAACTTTTTGTTCTCCATTAAGCTGCACTGAACTCTTATCCCGTCAATTTTGTTGATCCGTATTGCTTTGCCTTGCTGGGCGCTGTCTCTGCAAATAATTAGCAGGTCTCCACTGTACAGAATTCTGGCACCTCTGACTTCTCCGACAAGTTTATTGATGGTTTTTGTTAAGTGAACCGGATTCCAATTTGTAAAAGAGTCTGCCTGATTAACGACTTTGAATATGACTTTGAATTCATTTTGTTGTGCTGTGGAATGTATGGAATGATCATCACTGGATTGTTCTGAACTAGATTCCCCTTGAACTGATCTCTGTTTTTTCCGCTTTTTCTCATTTTTTGATGTTGCTATCTTCCAACCTTCATTGTCACTATTTCCCTCTTCCATCCCACAAGAATCGCTTCCTGTTTCCTCACTACTCACGGCCCAAGACATTTCTCCATAAGCAGCTTCAAAACACGCGCCATGCACCCTCCTGCGGTGGTCCTCTTGCTCCCAGCCTTTTAGCCAGCTAGGTCTGTTGCGGTGACACGTTGACCGCTCGGTTCAACCGACCGGAGGGGGTCTCCCTCAGCAGCAGGCCTGCTCCTCACACGGTGACTTCATTCGAGGATCACAGCAAGAGCCTGTCCCATCGTCGGAAAGACGCAAAATTGATTCCTAACAATTTTCACGTCATTCAGACGGTGTTACTAGCCAGACTCACAAGATGGCGCTGTTCTTCACTTCCGAGTCCACGACCTGGTTGGTTCCGCACGTTCACCGTTCTACCACAAGGGGCGCTGTTTTTCATAAACTATTTAAATGCTTTATTATTATTATTATTATTATTATTATTATTATTATTATTATTATTATTATTATTATTATTATTATTATTATTATTATTATTATTATCATCCAATTATACAACAAAAAGTTAATATAAAACTAAAACGTAATGAGAAAAGAAATATAAATAATCTTAAAGGCTTAATCACAAAATTTCTCCAATAAAACTGTATAGTATTTTTGCATTATTGCGTGCATCTTTGTTAGACACCCTTTTAACATATAGAATTTTTCTTTTTTTTAAAGACTGGGATTTTTGTATTTATGTCCTATTTTTTGCATTAATTAATTAGCATCAAACATTCCATTCCCTCAAGCTTTAAACATCTATACAGTTATCAAACAAATATTTAGTTGTTTGAAGCTGTGTTTTACAGCAGCCATAGTTTGAGTCAAAGGTTACCCCCATCCTCTAAGTAGAGGTGGGGATGTTACTTATTAGGAGGAGGTTTTTCGACTCGCAAAACAAAAAGCACTCGTGGAGAATTTTCTTGTTTCAAAAAGGGGTGTTTTCTTTACTTATAAAAAATAACATAAATATTCTCCGAGTTGTCTTACAAATAATTTAAGTATAAACGTTAACCGATGTGTGTGTGAAAAAACTGTTGCACGCCTCACTCCTTCAAACAAACAATCAGATCCACCTCAGCAGCTGCTTCTACTTGATAATCTCTGCAGGAGGCGGACTGACAAGGAGGTGGGTCAAAGCAAAACTAATATATATATATATATATATATATATATATATATATATATATATATATATATATATATATAAAACTGTATCTTCTTAAAACAGCATGAACCTGGACTTTAATTATTATTAATCTCTCTCTAATGATATATAGTCCAGATAATAGAATTACTTATTTCATATTGAAATACTGAAAATATATTGAAAAACTCTAGAATAATATTTCTAAGACAAAAGAGGCAAGTATGAATAAGGGTAGTGTAATATATATATCCAATAACATGATATAACTGTTAATCAACAGCTATTAACAGACCACAAGGGTTTGTTTTCAATTTTGAATTATAGTTTGGTGTTTTTGCTCCTTTCAGCTTCTTTTTTTTGTATCAGTATTCAGTAGGATTTTACAAATCTTGTCTAGTAGCAAATCAAGCAGGGCAAATGCAAACTGTTGTATTTGTGAGTGGATGGTAATAACGGGATAAAATAGCAGGTATGGTTCTGGAAATTGTAATGAAACAATGACTCGATTGTTTTTTTTCTTCTTCTATAAATGGTAGTAAAATGGCTGAAAATATCACAGTACAACAAAAATAAATAGTTATAAATGCTAGACAATTTAGAAACCATAATGAAATAAGCAAATTGATTAAAGAATATGGATTAGAAGATAAGAAAATAGCTCAGTTTAATCCAATTAGTGTTACTCCTCCTTGGCTATTCCCTGAGGTAAATGTAGACATGAGACTGCTTAAAATGAAAGATGGTTGGAATTTAAATGAAATAGAGATAAAGACTGATATGTATTTAAGACACTCATATTAGAACTACCTTAAAATATATTCAGATAGTTCTAAAAATTTAAAAGGACGTGTGGGAATAGGAATATATATACCAGAGTTTAACATATACATTTCTAAAAGAATATCAGATCAACTATCTGTTTTCACAGCAGAAATGGTGGCAATTATACTAAGCTTACAATGGATAGAGGAGGTTAGACCAGACAGGGTGGTGGTCTGTACAGATTCCACAGTAGTTTTAGAAAGTATTCAGGGAGAAGGAAATAATAGAAAAGATTTAGTATTAGAAATTCAGCACAGTTTATTTAGATTATATAGGGGTGGCTTTGATGTTTGGTTACGTTGGGTTCCAGCACATGAAGGTGTAAAAGGCAATAAAACAGCAGATATACTGACAAAAAGGGCTTTAGAGGGAACAAAAATCTTTTTGAGAAAGGGGAATGGAAATCACTTATTAAGAGTAAAGAAATGGAAAAATGGCAAAAGAGATGGAATGAAGATAAGAAAGGAAGAAGTTTATATAAGGTACAAAAATCAGTATTAAATAGAATCAGTGAGAGAAACAGAAGGGAAGAAGAAATAACCATCAGATTAAGAGTGGGTCATACCTATTTAAATGACAATTTATTTTTAATAGGGAAGAAAAATAACGATAAATGTGAAGGATTGGTTGAAAAAGAAAATGTAGAACATGTACTGATGAACTGTACAAGTTATGAACATGAAAGGGAGAAGTTGAGAAGGATGGTTGAAAGGACAGGCAAAGAATGGAGTGTTTAAGGAAATATAAAGAATATTCACATATTAAGAAAAGCATTATTTATTTATCTACAGAATTCAAAGTTAAAAAATAGAATTTGATGTAATGTTGCTACACACTCATGTACAGTAGGTGGCAGTATGCGCCTTAAAGTTCTTTGCGATCCGCCATAATAGAAAAGAAGAAGAACCATAACGAGCCACACCACACCAGTTGGTGGCGGTAAAGGCGCCTTCATTTTTTTTTTATAAACCACCTTCAATAAAGTCCAGAAGAAGAAGACCCACAACAACTGTCATGGCTGCCTCCTGCTCGTTAGTGTGCTGCGGAGAAGAGACTGAATCCGACAAAGCTGCTATCGGTAAACATATCTTGTTCCATTGTTGTAAGTCTATAGTGTTAACTGCAGTGGTGTCATCCGTTTTTAAGAAGGTTTTAGCGACCAATTTAGAAATGTGCGCGCACACGTGGGCGCTCGCTCGAAATAAACCAGTGCTCTGTTCGAAACCTCCTTTTCTTTTTTTTTCTTTTTTTTAATTGAAAGAATTATACAAACCACAAGGCAGCAAATCAGAAGGTGTTCCAATACAAAACAGAAATGAGAGGCATTGATGCAGAACATACAACAAAAAGACAAAAAAAAAAAAAAAAAAGGGGAATACATTGAAAACATTGAAAATAAGGCAGTTACGAATTACAAGACTGCTAAATTATTGTAATGATTCTGTGTTTTGTTTTATTGGGGTCCATATGGTTATGTGTTTTCTGTTCCCTTCCTTATGTGTTTCCTTTGCCTGACTCTGCTGGCTCCTGCTCTCATGCGATAGGCCTGTTGGTTCGCGTGGGGGGGGGGGCTGGGAGAGCAGCGGTTCCAAGACCGGAAGTGTTAAGCGGGTTGAGAAGGCTAACTGAAGAGCTATCTTTGTTGGTGTCTATGCTAGCCATGTTGTGAGGGGCGTGAGCTGTGGCCTCAGAAATAACAGCTCGTTTTGCTTAATAAACCTGTTGACGGCAATAGCTCGGCGTAACTGGCATCATTACATTATGTTCTACAATAATGTTGAGAAGTTTTTTAGCAATAGGAGTCGCCATTATTTTAAGGGCTTTTACATAAAGTAGAAACTCATTGAAAAAAGCACAACATTTTGGAGGCCTTTTCTTACATTTGGACTTATGTATGTATGACTTTCCAAGAATTATGATAGTATTTATCAGAAGGGATGTTTTTTTACAGTCCAAGATTAGACCAAAAATAATGTCTTTCTGACAAAAAAAACTCCAGCTGAGGAAAACTAGATTGTAACCATATGAAAACATTTTGCCAAAAAACATAAGAGAAATTACAGAGAAAAATACATGGTCAGTAGATTCAATATCAGTATTGCAGAAAGAACAACATTTGGTTTCAAACCCAAAACGCTGGTGTAAAAAGTCATTGGAGGGATATATATTATTGAACTTACGATAATGAATTTCTTTCGCTTTGGGGGGAATAGGAAGTTTCAAAAACTGTGTTCTCAAACAAGGCACACTATCTTTAGGAAAGAATTCTAAAATAGAATTCTTGTAAGATTGAAATGGAAACAAGATATGAGTGAATAAGTAACAAATAGTTTTATTTTGAATTGGAATCTCTCTGAAATCACAATTACCTATTAAGATTAGAGGAAGTTGAGGAAAGAAAAGGTTAGTGGATGTTGTTAAAACACTTCTAATCAAGATCAAAATAGAGTGTGGAATAGCTTTGGTATTAAGCTTGAATGTTTTTAAATTAGTAAAATTACCATATCTAGTACAGAAGTCACTATAAGCTAACAGATGGCCACTATTATCTACAAGGTGAACTGGAGACCAAATACCTTTATCTAACCAATCCTTATAAAATACAGACTTGTTTCTAATAGTAACATATCTATTATTCCAAATCAGGGTATTGTGAGGAGTAAAATTATGATTGTATAGAACTTTCCAATATAAAAGGACTTGTTGGTGGAAGAGAGATAATTTGATGGGCAATTTTTGAATTAAGTAATCACATTTAAGTAAGAAATCAATGCCTCCCAGCATCTTAAAGATTTGTCTGGGGATTCTGTTCGAAAAACTAGGATGCGTCCTTAGAAGGCCAGATTCGAAGGATGATTACGTCATAGAGCGGCGCCGAGGTCTGGTCGGATTCCAAGAGTCCTCGTTATGCGGCCTTAAATAAAATGCGTCCTTCTTTTTGCCCGATTTGAAGGATGGGTCCGATGTATCCTCGGTATCCTTGGATATCCCAGGATTCAATGCGAGACCAAGCAAGCTGTGATCAGAGGAAAGGTTACTTGGCGCCGAACAGTGGTGAAAATTGGAAGTTCAGTTTAATATAATCCAGTCTGTGAATAGTTCCGTCTGAAATGAATGAAAATAGTTGTTTTAATGGTTATTGAGTCAGATATGTGGCGGTAATGTTTGATTTATCTAAAGGTTTTTATCTGTTACTGTGTAAATGGGTTTGGCTGGAATTTAAGGACAGATTCTAATAGATTTGCAGAGTGGGGACTATAAATCTGATAGGATTTTTATCTATTTATTGCTGTTTTGCACAATATGCTTAACTAAGATTTTGTTGTTGTTGAATATTAGAGATTTTGCAGATAGATTTTTATTACACATACATTGTTTAGATTTACTTATATCGTTCTACCCCTTTTATAGAATAGAATAGAAAATCCCTTTATTGTCCCATAATGGGCAAATTTACAGCAGCAGAAAGATTATTGAAAATGGTCACACAAATGTGGACCTTAGAAAAATCTATAAGAATAACATGATAGGGAAGAGTTAAAATATAAACAATAAAATACTGTAAAGTGTTGTAACAATATAAAACTGGAGAATTAATAACCAATATGCAGCTATGGACATTTTTACAGTAATGGATATTTGAAAATAGCAGCAACATCAGAGATGTGCAGAATGACAGCAGCAGGTTATTTAACTGACTAAGGTTTTTATCATTACATTTGATTTTATTTGTTCCTGCTCCCGGTGGTTGAAACCTTTATTCCACTCTGGATTCTTGTGAGTGTAGTCTTTGTTCACTTTACAATAAAAAAATTAATAAATAAACAAACAGTTTTGAAAACTTCGGTTTTCATTCTTTTCCTGCTTTGTGTGTCAACTTTCACGGTTGCTAAGCAACAGAGCTTACGGTGGTAAAACCCGCCGAAGGGTAGAGCTGTTCGAATTCACAGGTCTCCTTATTTTCACGGACTTCGAAGGATCCACTCTAGGTAGACCGGGTCCTTGGAGGATGCGTCCTAGGTTTTCGAACGGAGCACAAGAATACTCCCAGTGTTTCCCTCACTTTGGTCGCATCGATGGATAACGGCTGCTTTCTGAATCTCTCTCTCAAACAGTTCGCTTTTCAAATGCCTGTGTCAACCATGCAGAGCAACTGGATTTCAGCATGTACAAGAACACAGATGAGAAGAACCCCAGGAAGAAGAGCAGGCGGATAGTGGTGAGGAAGATGATGATGAAGGCCTGCTGATTTCTGGATTGGCGAGCTTCTACTGTTGGGATTATTTATGAGTTTATGTTTTCTTCTGCTAAGGTTGCTGAATCAGAGAGGCTAAGTTATGTTGGTCAAAATTTTGGGGCTGAATCAATGAAATGCAACAACCTCTGCAAGTAAGTAAAGCTACATCTGTTATTAATTTAATTGGTTTTGCTTAATGCAGGAGTTGTATTCCATTCTGCTATTTTAGTTTATTTTCTCCACTGCAAAATATAGTTATTGAGACTCATAGATCATCACAGTAGGAATTAAAGGAAAAGGTTTTAATAAAGGAAAAATCCCTCAGCTAATTCAGCTTTGTTTGCCAATTGGTTGATGACGTCACCGCAGGTTTACCAATTGGGATGGAGGAGGAAGTTTCTCTAAACAATTGTATTTAGATGTGGAAACATTCAACCAACAGTTGAACTTTATTGATTTCACACTGGAAAATTTTACCTATGCATTTAACCCATCCCCTATGGGAGCAGTGAACCCTTAACCTCTTAAGGACTCAGAGTGGCAGTCTGTGAGGATCGAACCAGCTACAGTGGGCATTGGTTGGAAATGGACACTTCACTCACGCTCCGCGTGTTTCACAAATTGCGTGAAAAACATTTGACTACTATAGCCACTAGGTGGCAGTCTGAGTCCATTTTCGGTGCCCCATGAGTCAGGATTGGATAGCTCAATTAGCAAACTGGAAAGGACATTATGTGGTCCGGGCTGTTAGTGTAGAGGGTAAAGGGAGTGGTCTGCAGTTCTGAAGGTTGAGGGTTTGATCCCAGCTATGGACGAATAGCTTTCAATTTTTTTTTAAATCACTTTTTTATTACATTAGACCATAGGGATTATCATTCTACATTTTTATCTTACTGTATATATAGGTCTATTATATTGCATGCCTTATAGTCACAGTGTTTAGATATTTTTATAATTCTATTTACCCTATTCCATATTATATGTGTCATGGTCTGGCGGTGTTTGTGAATGAGAGATGGTGCGGCTCAGCTCATGTTCACGTGAAGCAGCAGATATGCAGCCCAGATGTGGAATTACTCGCAGTGAGTTTAAGACTTTATTATCTGCCGCGGGAGTTTGGTCACGTGATCGTGCTGTGCGTTTCCAAAGCGTGGTAAACAAGTTTCAGACTAGAGTCTGAGACGGGAGTGGATTTTCACTCCTGTCCCATCCCTCTCCAATTCAGAATGACTCCCGCTGCTCCACCACCCCCATTCTTGTTTTTGTTTTTTGTTTTTTTTGAGCTCGGGAGAAAAACTCAGAGCGGAAGCAGTGATGGTTTTTGGGTCGTGTAGTTTTTTTGACTCGCATTATAGTGTAGGCTTCAAGGAAAAAAACTACAAAATGGCGGCGCCGCGCCAGTACTGGATTTTTTTTCTTTCTATTTAATTTTATTTTTTGGCATCGATCCTAGTTTTTTTTGTTATTATTGGTTTTCTCCCGCTCCCGTCTGCTCCCGCTAGTGTTTAACACTGTACCGTCCCAATCACGTGATCGTTACTAATACTGACTCCTATCCCACAATACTTCAATGTCTTTTTTAATTTTTTTGACAATATGATCATTAGACGGGTAAAACTTATGAATTATTTCTAAATGATATTGCTTTAATTTTGGTGGTCAGCAAATATCGGTTGGGTAAGAGCCAGACCTTCTTCCAGTCAATGTTTTGCACAAATGTATTCCAGTATGCAGGGCTGGATTTAGGAGGATGGGGCCCCTGGGCTGGAGTCAGGATGGGGGCCCCTGGGCTAGAGTAAAAAAAAAAAAAAAAAAAAATATATATATATATATATATATATATATATATATATATATATATATATATATATATATATTGTATGTGTTTGTTTTGTTTTAGAGGATAAATAACATGCAAATACCAGAAGAAATTGCTCCAAAGACTTTGGCATAATCTATAGGAGACACAGGAATTTTTTATTCTTCTAGAAACTCTTTATAAGAGTAAAGAGACCCTCTTTGTTAAATAATTGGTCAACCAAAATAATGTTATTATTAAACCAATAATCAATAAATAAGGATTTATGTTTAAACAATATGTCTTTATTGTTAGATTTGTTAGGTAGGATTTGTTAGAACAGACTTCTTCACTCTGCTCCACTCTCCCCACGCTCACACAATACGTCACATGCAACCAGGAACAATAAAAGGCTGGACCTTTTTTTAAACAAAATTAAAAACAAAGCACCCCTCCCCCCGCTGGGTCGTTCAGATCACAACCTTGTCTACCTGCCCCCCCATTACATTCCACTGGTGAGAAGGACAATTGCACAGTCGGTGAAAGTTTGGTCGGATGACGCCACTGAGGAGCTGAGGGATTGTTTCAGCACCACAGACTGGAGCATGTTCCAAAGCTCTCATGGTGAGGACATCAACAGCCTGACTGAATGCATCACTGACTACATGACCTTCTGTGTGGAGAGCATTGTGCCTACACCAAGTTTGCAGATGAGTTAAACAGCTTCTTCACCCGGTTTGACTCCCCTCACACTGGTCCCCTCCCTGCCCTCAACTCTCCACACACCTCCAACCACCAGCCCCCCAGAGACCTTTCCCCCCCACCGCCGCCACTCCCACCAACCCCCGACCCATCCACACCTCCAGTCGTGCCTTCCTCCCCCCTCACAGTAACACCAATGCAGGTGAGAAGGCAGCTGAGGAGGCTGAAACAGAGGAAGGCCTCAGGACCAGACGGCCTCCCCCCCAGGCTGCTGAGGACCTGTGCAGATGAGCTCCTGTGTGGTTCCGGTTCCCATATCAGCCGGATTGGAGCAGTGGTTCTAGAGGAAACTTATTTGGAAAATTCCTGAAATGTTTGCATTTCTGGCCTCTAATAGTATCTTTGATTCCAATTATCTCTAAAAGTAATAAAGCCAAACACTTTAAACTTGGTAGATCTATGGAGGGTCCTAAAAATATTCAATCCCTAAAATATCGGCCGGATTGGAGCAGTGGTTCAAACTTATTTGGAAAATTCCTGAAATTTTTGGCCTCCAATACTAGCATCTTTAACTTCAATTATCTCAATAAAGCTAAACACTTCAATTTTCACAATCGATACAAACATTCCCACATATGTCCAATGTGAAAGATTATGAGGATATGAGCAATTGTTGTGAAGAAATCTTTATTTAAAAATCTAAAGCAGCTTTGTTTCCAACACAGTGCTATTTAAACAAGTACACAGCTGGATCTAATTTGTCATATTGATAACATGTCAGGTTTAAATTATGAACAAAATTAAAAACAAATATGTTGCATATACTCTATATTTATTATCCTAATTATGTACAGCATTATAAAACAAAATTACAAGCAGGTTTATCAATACAGAAGATCCAACAATAACTGCCTTGCTCTTTCTCCGACATTGTATACTGAGAAAAGTGGTTTTCACAAGCCTCACCATGCTCACTGCACTAAATATTAATATTAAGAAAATATTTACAAATTCTACAATGTCTAATAAGGCATCATTATGAATGTCAATGATGGTTACAATGGCTGCGTCTCAATTCGCAGGCTGCCTACTTCTGAGTGTATGTATGTATATATATGTGTGTGTTCGGAAATAACATCTTTCATTTATTATATTCATGTTAATTTACACTTTGAGTAAGCTTGAAAAAGTAATCTCCAGGTTACCATTCCAAAGTCTTTTTCTGTAGAATTTCATCAATCCATCCAAATCATCAAACTTTCCTTTTTTCTAGCTTTAGAGAAACAGAAAATATCATTTAAATTGTTTTCCTCTACTTTAGGAATGCAAAGATCCAGGGACAGGGAAGCCCACTGCTGCCACCTGGCCCTGCTTTGTCCTCATGGATGAGGTATTAGGACAGAGGCCTTGTTTTGCCCCACCTGTCCTAATCGCCTCCATCCCTGAGGACACACCAGGGCTAGATGCTGCAGAGGCTGAGCAGCACACAGATGAGCTTGGAGTCTTCTGACTGCGAGTGGGACATCATCTGGGGGGTCTGGGGTGCCTCTCTCCACTGTTCACCACATCGTCCATCAGGATTTGCAGGGCTGACCCAATCAACGGCTGCCATGTTACTAAAAAAGCTTAAAAAGACGCAGAAAATAATGACTTTACTAAAACTGTTTTCATAACCCTGAAATGAGAACAGCTAAAATGTGATTCTACTTGCCATCTAAATGTAACGGTGGTCGGGTAGACCCTCCTCCAGGGCAGACACCTCAGCAGACAGCTGGTCCCGCCATGGAGCACCACTGACTGCCTCCAACACCTTCTCCCCCTCCTCATCCTCTGGCATGTCATCCTCTGGGGCCGTGATGTCTCCGGCTCCCAGGTAGATGTTGTGCAGGACAGCACATGCCGTTATGACCTGTAGAAAAAAAAAGACAAAAATATTTACTTTTATTCAGTCATCTATCTTTTTTTCATTATCTTTATTACATGATTTATTAGAATTTAAATTTTACTTGATCTAGATCCACTATTTAACTTATTTTTTCCTTTTTATATTTAGATTTTTTACCTGTATTATGTTTTTTTATATATATGATTGCAAATAAAATCAGGCAGTAAGGGGATACAATTTAGACAAAAAATTATTTATTTCTCAAAAGTTTGGCTTCTCAACACAACATTAGTGATAGTGAAAGTAGTGATCTAAGTCAGTTATTTACAGGGTTTGTACACATTTAACTATTCAATTCATATTACTAAAGTTACAAACAAATAAATTACAAACTTACAAATAAATATAAAATTTTATATTTAAACATATTCATCAATCTGCTGACAAGCGTTTATTTAATAACTGGTATACAGTGATGGGCAGTAGCGCCGCCACATGTAGCGAAGCTATTAGTTTAACTACATTTTCCAGTAGCTTGACCGTAGCGTCGCTGCTTTTTTTTTTCTTTTTTTTCTTTCCAGTAGTGACGTTATTGTTTTTATCAAGTAGCGACGTAGCATCCACAAACGCTACAAAATCCAGGGCAAAACTAAGAAATGAAACCAGGTTTTCTATTTTTGAAACATCAATCGGGAGTTATTTGCTGGACATTCACGCATGAGCCTCTATTCTGCCTCTCCTGTCTGTGTCTACGAAACATGCGCATG